TGTTCATCTTGATTCGATGTCTAGATTTTGGTTTTTAATGTATTGTTGTCATTTATGTTTGTTAGGGTTTTAGCTAACTTCGTTTGAAACTTTTCAAAATGCTTCGACTGTCAGATTCGAATTCCAGCTCGGAGATGGGTGTTGTTTCAAAAATGTGAGGTGTACTTCCTTAAATGGAATATTGGATTAGGCAGTTGGGGTAGCTCTTGAGGCATTAAGTAGTTTCTATAGATTTGTTCCTAGCAGAATATTGTATAGGCTAAAGCATTGTTTTTCCTGAGAGTTAAAGAATAAAGCTTGAGTAGAATACTTTCATATCATAACTCATAAGGGCATGTGCAATGCTTGGTTCTTAGCCAAGTTCTTAAATATAAAATTATTAAAACACACACTCTCTCTTCCTTTTACTCAATTTTTTACTTTCTCTTTCATCATTTTACTCAACTTTTATTAATTTTATATTTAAACACTCTCTCATCATTTTAAGAACACTCTCCAAAAGTTCTTATTTAAAAACACTCTTCTTCCTTTTACTCAACTTTTATTAATTTTATATTTAAACACACCCACTATCTCCTCTTTTTACTCAAACAAAAACACTCTCTTTCTTCTTTTTACTCAAATTTTAATAATTTTATATTTTAAGAACATGTTTAAGAAACACCATTGCACATGCCCTAAGTCAATATGTTATCATTTTTTAATTTACAGTAAATTGCATGAAACGAGTATGTTCTTTGGTGGTCTATGGTTGATTTATTGTTTAATAATTTCTTGTTATGCAGTTTCTTTCTTACAGTGGTTGTTCATAATCTTCATATCATTTTACTCTTCACGACAAACGAAGGTGGAAAGTAGTTATAAGGAGGAGGATAGACCCACCATCTCAAGACATGCGCGGTGGGAAGCTATTAACTGATAAGAGGATATATCTAGACTTCTCTCTTGTCTTAAGTTCTTGATTTTGACTCTTACTCGTTTGCATGTGAGAAGTTTTCATCATGAGATATGTTTGGTTTCGACATATGTGCTACCATAGGCATGTGCGAGCAATAACCATGTATTCAAGCATTCCACACGGAAAAGCTTGCTCTTAGTCTTTGATTTTTGAAACATGTTGGTAGTATTTTTATATTTAACATTGTGGTTGATTTAGAATTAAAAAGTCTTTGGATTCACTCAATGCATTGTAAGTTTAAGGGAGTATTATATAAAAGCTTCCAAATTATATCATGGTTTTTCATCTATCCTATGCAGTGAATCTATAACGAACTCTTTTCTTGGTTAATAAAGGAATGTTGCTTGATATTGTGAAATGTCAATTGAACTCCATAAACGATGCCCATTTGAAAGAAAACTTTTACAACCTCGAGAGGCATGTGGGATATGTGATCAGATTTGCTTTCTAATTGAGCTAACCTCATAGACAAACTTGTAATCATACACTTTGGAAGTGAATCTCTTCGTGTTCATTCACTATGTCTTCCAAATAGAAAAGTAGGAATAGATCCATACATCATTCAGTTTAGGCATTTGTATACAGTCTAAAACTCTAAAGAAAAAAAGCCAATGAACATATATCTAAACCTACGATTATAATATGAAAACAAAAAATATACATGGATAATATCCGCTTTAAATGTCTACAATCTACATTAAAATATATAAAAAAGATTCACAAATAAACTGTATACTGTATATACACACTGAGAAAGGTTACAAAAACAAAAACTGTATAATTTTACAAAGTTAAAAATGCAACTCTTGCGAACAAACTTTTTGTATGTCAACATTATACAAATTCGTGGTCCGTAAATGGGAAAATTAGATGAGAACAACTTTGTAAAATTTTGGTTTAATAAAATGGCAAAAGCTTACAAGAACATAAAAGAACAGATAAAGCATATTTGTCTTACAATAATTTAATTAAATACCCACATATATACATATTTCAGTTTAGAAGAAAATTTAACAAGAGTAAGAAATTTCCATTGTTGCAAGCTTTTCAGGTTGCCACCAGTACGAGGTGCACTAGGAGCTAGGAATCACAACTATACTTTGCAAATTTCATAAGAGAATAAATAAAACAAGTTAATTCGCTCAGAAAATTCGTACTTGATTCATTGAAGTTTTATTCGGTTTGAGTATGTGTCGCTGTCTGTTAAATAAAGAAGAATGATTTGCATTATGAAGCTATAGTTTGTCAATGAAAGTGTCTATCTTTAAGGTTTAAATAATACTTGCATGCAATCTCACAGATACCTTTGTGGATATATTTATTCGGTGAGAGATTCTCAACAAAAGTGCGATAAATTAAACTAAATGGCGATTACAAACTTACTTTGTGTGTATGTGTTCTGTTTCAAAATCATTTAGTCTCTATTAGACAATTTTTAAAACAAGAGGCTTAAACTTGCTGGTTGGAAACGATGGGTTTCATGGCTGAAGGATTGGATACATTCAAGAGATAAAAGAAAAACTATGTTGTCAATATATATGTTCAAATCAAAATATTTACTCCGAATGCTTTAAAGTACTGTTCCGAATGTGATCGAAGTACATTTTATATACAATACTTGTTCCGAATGTGATCGAAGTTACAAAAAACAAGCAATAGTACTTATGGTTCATTCCTACACTTTCAATTGACAACATAAACTCAATTTTGATATTTTTAATAAGAAAATGTAATTTGATGGTTTCAAACTTTAGGATGTACTCAACATAATAAATTAGTTTGTGTATGAACAACCCGTGCGTACGAGCGGGTATTGGCCTAGTTTATATAATTCGAACGTAGGGCCATAAAAAAATTAGATTTACAATCGAAATTATAAATTAAATACAATCATAAATTCGAATTCATTATGGATAAACAATTTTGCTTGAACTACTTGGTCATTTGAATTTTACATCGGTAATTTCGCGGAAAACTCAAGTAAACTCTTTTCGCATAATATGGATATTCACTTCTAAACCTTTTTTTTAACTATCCAATTGGTTAAAAACAATGTTTTAAAAACCGGACCAAACACCTACTCAACATCGTCATTGGTTGGTTGGTCGGACCAGTCCAACCGGGTTTTTAAATATTCATATTTTTAATTATATATATAATCATATTAAAAGTAATTAAAATAGATAATGTACTAATTAAGAAAAAATATTCCTGTATTTTGTTTTTTAATATAATTTCATCTTTTTACCAAAATAAAATTATAAGAAAAGAAAATATTAGACAATTTCAAATTATAATAATAAAAGATTAAATATGATTTATCATGTAATAATTATCATACAACATGTACATAACAAGATTTTAATCTTTTTGTATATAAAAGATTTTTTTTTAATAAATACAAAATGAAAATAAATTTGAAATTAAATTAATAGTGATTATAAATTATAGTTTAAACTTTTTTGACTATAAAATTTTGACTTAAATTTTGTGAACCAGGTTTTGGCATACAACCAGTTTTTGGCCGGTTTTGCCGGTTAACTCAAATCTGGATTTTTATTCAATTCAGACCCGGCCAAGTAACCGAATCCCAGTTGGACATGTCGGACCGGCCGGTCCGGTTTTCAAAACACTGGTTAAAAAAGCATATATGTCCTGAAGTGAATAACCAATGTTTTAACTTTTAACTACCCAAATTAGTTAAATAACCCAATTGTGGAGCACTTTGCCACAAAAGCGGGATATGTCCTGAAGAGTCCCTCGGTTTTTGTACACTGTATCCTTCAACTCTAACCATAAATGTCGCTCGCACTTTCAATTTTTTTTCTCGTTCTCATTTTATTAGATGAAAGAA